AACTGAGGGGAAAATTTCATAGGTTAAAAAAAAACCCACATAGTCAAAAGAAATATAACAAATAAAAGTATGCAAATTATAGTTACATGCAAAAGTTCTTAACAATCGAGATGGAAAAAACACAAAAACACCTAAGAAACATGATCAGAGGGTTCATAGAAAAGAAAAGCAATGAATTTAAAATACATGAAAAAATGCTCAACTTCACTCTTAAGAAAGGAAATGCAAATCACAACTGCACTGAGATACTATTTCTTGTTTATCTGGCAAAAATTCTAGTTTCAAAATGCACTCTGTTGGTGAGACTGTGGGAACATAGGCACACTTATTCATTGCTGGTGGGAGTGCAAAATGTTTCAGCCCCTATAGAGGGGAATTTGGCATTATGTAGCAAAAAGGCAAATGCCTTTACATTTTGATTCAGCAATTCCACTTCTAAGAATCAAATGTAAATTATATCAGAACAGATTTGAAATAATAAACATAAGGTTATTTACTTAGAATTATTTATACAAACAATAGTCTGGGAGCAATCCACATATCCATCAATGAGAACAGACTGAATAAACCACTGTACAGCCACACAAGGGATATTATATTGTCATTAAAAAAAAGTATGAGAATCTCTGTATTAGTTTACATGGCTGCTGTATCAAATTACTACCAACTTTATGGCTGAAAAAAGAAAGTTATGGGGCTGGGGTTGTGGCTCAGCGGTAGAGTGCTCACCTAGCACGTGGGGCACTGGGTTCGATCCTCAGCACCACATACAAATGAAATAAAGATATTGTTTCCAACTACAACTAAAACAAAATATTAAAAAAAGAAGAAAGTTATTCTGTCAGAGTTCTGGAAATCAGAAGTCCAAAATCAACATATCAGCAGGGATGGATAGCTCCTTTTTTTGTCTTTTTGGTACCAGGGATTGAACCTGGGTGCTCAAACACTGAGCCACATTCCCAGATTTTTTATTTTTTATTTTGAGATAGGATCTCACTAAGTTGCTGGGGGCCTGGCTAAATTGCTAAGGCTGGCCTTAAACTTGTGATCCTCCTGTCTTAGCCTACTGAGCATCTGGGATTACAGAAGACCACCACCATGCCCAGTGGGATGGCTCCTTGGGGGCTTTGAAAGGGAAATTGTTTTATGCTTCCCTCCTGGCATCTGGTATAATCCTTGATATTCTTTAGCATGTAACTGTGCCATTTTAATCTCTACCTTTATCTTCACATGGTCTTCCTGTGTCTCATATATCTTTTCTTTTCTTTTTTAATTTTTTTTACTTGAAGATGGACATAATACCTTTATTTATTTTTATATGGTGCTAAGGATCAAACGCAGTGCTTCACACATGCTAGGTGAGCACTCTATCACTAAGCCATAACCCCAGCCCCTCTTTTCTTTTATAAAGACACTCGTGTTTAGATTTTGTGCTCACCTCAATCCAAAATGATCTCATCTCAAGATGGTGGAGGAAGAGCAAAGAAAAAAGATCCCTTTGGTTCCAGAAAATCTCCTGAAAAAGAGGAAGGCTTATCAGGCCCTCAAAGCTACCCAGGCAAAGCAGGCACTTTTGGCAAAGAATGAGAGAAAAGGAAAAGAATTCAGATTTAAGCGACTGGAATCATTCCTACATGATTCTTGGCGGCAGAAACGTGACCACGTGCGCATTAGACGACTAGAAGTGAAACCTCATGCTTTGGAAGTACCTGATAAACATTCCTTGGCCTTTGTTGTATGCATCCAAAGGATTGATGGGGTGAGTTTACTGGTGCAGAGGACCATTGCAAGACTTCGTCTGAAGAAAATATTTAGTGGTGTCTTTGTTAAAGTCACCCCCAAAAGCCTAAAAATGCTACGGATAGTAGAACCTTACGTGACCTGGGGATTTCCAAATCTGAAGTCTGTCCGGGAACTCATCTTGAAACGTGGACAAGCAAGGGTCAAGAATAAGACCATCCCCCTGACAGACAACACGGTGATTGAGGAGCATCTGGGGAAGTTTGATGTCATTTGTCTGGAAGACCTCATTCATGAAATTGCCTTCCCGGGGAAGCATTTTTGGGAGATCTCTGGATTCTTGTGCCCTTTCCACCTCTCTGTTGCTCGTCATGCTACCAAAAATAGAGTGGGTTTCCTCAAGGAGATGGGCTTACCTGGCTATCTGGGTGAACGCATCAATCAGCTCATCCGCCAGCTGAACTAAACCCAGAATATCTGAAAGCAGTGCATCGGAAGCATGTGTTCTGTTGGATGGAATTGTTGTCAAGTATCTTCACAGAAGATTATTTTCTGCCTTAAGAAACTGGAAGGAAGGAATTGGGGAAGAGACAGTAGGTTATGATCATGGCAGGCACCTCTCATCACAGCCCAGTTCCAAGGAAAATTGTTTTCCACATTGACCACCTCTGCTCTGCGGTTTAATATTGGTGAATGAATAACCCAGGCATGTATACAAGTCTCCCTAAGCCTCTTGCAGCAGTGGATCAAGTCCAGGAGCATACTTGAATCTAGAGGTCCCAAGAGCCTTGTTTTGAAAAGACTTAAAATACTTGGGAAGAAAGCACAAAAACCAAGTACTAGTATGTCTCTGTTGTTTCGCCTGACAGTTTTGTGAACTATCATACTTGCCTTGGCTCTAAGTGTATGGGGAGCTTTTCTATCCTATCCTGCAACAGACTTAAGTTCCCTTCACTAGCTCAGAGGTTGAGAAAGGAGGAACCTTTCACGTTGAACACAACATACTCAAAATTTTTCTTAGAATTTCAGGGTGTTCATAGACCCTTCTCTTTCAGGATTTACACATCTTCTCTGAGGAAGTTCTTATTAGCATGTGGTCACTCAGGCCGTGATCTTGCTAGTCTTCTGGTTCCATGACTTGCAGAAGACCAAAGTTCACCCAGCCAATTGTGTTTCTATAAAGAACACAGTGGCGGGCCAGGTGCAATGGCACACACCTGTAATCTCAACAACTCAGGAGGCTGAGGCAGGAGGATTGCAAATTTGAGGCCAGCCTCAGTAATTTAGTAAGACCCTGTCTCGAAAATGTAAAAAAGTGTGTGGGGGGATGTAGCTTAGTGATAACGCACCCCTGGGTTCAATCTTCAGTGCCAAAAAAATAATAGAGTGACGGATTTTTCATTTTCTACGTCATCTATAATTACATTACTGACTATTTTCTCCCCTGGGATTCAGGATGCAATTTCCAGGTTTCCCTGATCAGTATTCTGCTTAAAATCCAGATTAGGAAGAAGGGAGCCATTTTCTTGTTTTGGCATGAATGAAATTAGCACTATTTTGACTTTTTAGGACCCAGGCAGGCAACTCAGTTGGATTTTTCCCCCTTATTCTGGACTTAGGAAGTATTGTCCTTTATCTTTCTAGTAATGAGAGAGATCAACAAAGCTTCTGGGGATGCTAATCCTGAAAAAAAGTGGATACTATTTATCTTCATCAGTGTCTACCCTTAAAAGTGGTTCTTCCCTCTAAAAAAAAAGATTCTTATCTTAACTACATCTACAAAGACCTTTATTCCAAATAAAACCACATTCTCAGGTACTAGATGGATATATCTTTGGGGGAAAAAAATTACACCCAGTATAGTCCCCATATACTGACACAGATTAATTTCCAGAACATATCACTAAGTATATAGAGCAAAATGTAGAACATTGTTTAAAATTTGTTTGTCTTTTTAAAATTGTCTTTCAGGACAGGTTCTTGCTATGTTGCTCAGGCTAGACTTGAATTCATGATCCTCCTAGCTCAATCTTCTGAGTAGCTGGGATTATAGACGTGTGCTACTGTGGCCTAAACAGTGTTTGTAGTATATTTTGTGTGAGCAAGGTGAAAAAATAAGAATACATACACACATATGCATGTATTTACACATGTGTGTACTTTCAAACAGTATCCCTAGAATAAGCCAGAAACTTATCAAAATGGTGAACTCTTGAGTGTGGGAGACAAAGGGAAAAGACAGGTATACAAAAGAGGCTTCTGAATATACTTTTTAAAATATAGTTTTGGAATGAAAAGACATAGGTTGGCAGAATGGATAAAAAAAAACAAGACTCAACTATATATTCTTTGCAAGACACTCAACTTATAAGCAAAGACAACAACAGGCTGAAAGTAAAATGATGGAAATTAATACATCATGCAAAAGGAGCCTGAAAACAAGTAGGAGTAGCTACTGTCATATCTAACAAAGCAGACTTCAAGCCAAAATTAATCAAGAGACAAAGAAAGTCACTTCATTCTGGTAAAGGGAATGATCCAATAGAAAGATATAACAATAATAAGTAATTATGCTCCAAATGTTTGTGCACATAATTACATAAAATAGACACCCTCTAGCCTGGCTATGGCGGTATAAGAGCTCCCCCAGACATCCAGGTGGGATGGGTCTCCCACCTTGGAGGGGCGAGTCCCCTATACCCTGGTTGCAGTGGTATAGGAGCTCCCCACTACACCCAGTTGGGAGGGGTCTCTCGCCTGGAGGGGAGAGTCTCTGCTACCCTGGCTGCAGCGGTATAGGAGCCCCCACCCCAGGACACCAAGGTGAGTTTTCCAAGGAATCTCCATACAGGTTTCCAGATTAGCTGCACCAATTTGCAGTCCCACCAGCAATGTATGAGTATACCTTTCCCCCCTCAATCTTGCCAACATTTATTTTTACTTGTATTCTTGATAATTGCCATTCTGACTCATGTAAGATGAAATCTCAGTGTAGTTTTAATTTGCATTTCTCTAATTGCTAAGGATATTGAACATTTTTTCATATATTTGTTGACTGATGGTATTTCTTCTTCTGCAAAGTGCCTGTTCAGTTCCTTTGCCCATTTATTAATTGGGTTTTTTGGTTTTTTGGTGTTAAATGTTTTGAGTTCTTTATACATCCTGTAGAGTAATGCTCTATCTGAGGTGCTGGTGGCAAATTTTTTTCTCTCTTCACATTTTCAATTGTTCTCTTTGCTGTAAAGAAGCTTTTTAGTTTAAAAAATATGGAACAATTCACAAATCTGCTTGTCATCCTTGTGCAGGGGTCATGCTAAGCTTCTCTGTATCATTCCAATTTTAGTATATGTGCTGCTGAAGCAAGCACTCAGTAGAGACTCTTGGAACCTAAAAAAATATTATAAATCAAATGGACTTAACAGACTTCTATAAAAGATAACATCTATCAACAGCTGAATACACTTTCTTCTTAGCAGCTCATGGAACCTTCTCGAAAACAGACCACATTTTAGACCACAAAGCAACTTTTAGCAAATTCAGAAAACAAATCAAAGAACTGATATTATTCCTTGTAATAATGGAATGAAATTAAAAATCACCCCCCAAAGAAACCATATAAACACCTGGAGACTGAAAAATAAATGGGTAATAGAAGAAGTTGTGGAGAAATTTAAAAATTCTTAAAACAAGAATAGGGATACAACATACTACAACTCCAGGGACACTATAAAGGCAGTTCTAAAATGAAAGATTATAATTATGAATGCCTACATAAGAAAATCAGAAAAATCTCAAGTAATAAACCTAATGATGTATCTCAAGTTCTGTGAAAAACAAGAACCAATTCCAAAACCAGTACAAAGGAAATAATTAAGATCAGAGCCAAAATCAACAAAAATAGAGAGAATTAAAATATACAAATTCTTTGAAAAGATAAATAACATGTATAGCCCGTAATCAAAAGAGAGAAGATCCAAATTAATAAAATTAGAGATGAAAAAAGAGAAATCACCACAGATAATACAGAAATCCAGAGGATTATTAGGGACTATTTTGAAAACTTAGACTCCAATAAATTAGAAAACCTAGAAGAAATCAAACCATTTCTAGAAACATAAGACTTGTCAAATTGAATCAAGAGGACATAGAAAATCTAAACAGATCAATAACTAGCAATGAGACAGAAGCAGTAATAAAAAGCCTTCCAACAAGAAAAATCCAGGACCAAATGGATTCTCAGCTGAATTCAAATAGACCTTTCAAAAAGAACTGATATCAATGCTCCCCAAATTATTCCATGGAATAGAAAGGGATGAAACACTTCCAAATTCATTCTGAGGCCAGGATTACACTTATACAAAAACCAGATAAGGACACTTCCAGGAAAGAAAACTACAGATCCAAATCAGATGAACTTAGATGCAAAAATACTTAATATAACATTAGCAAATCAAATTCAACAAATAACATATTAAGAAGATTATACATAATGACCAAGAAGATTATACATAATGAAACCAAGTTGGTTTCATTCCAAGGCTGGAAGGATGGTTTAACATATGCAAATCAATAAATGTAACTCACTACATAAACAGAATTAAGAACAAAAATCATAGTCATCTCAATAAATGTAGAGAAAGTTTTGACAAAATCCAGCACTTGTTCATGATAAAAATATTGAAGAAACTAGGCATAGGAGGAACTTACTCAACATCATAAAGTATATGTACAACATAACCAAAGCCAACATCATAGCGAATGGGGAAAAACTAAAAGTATTTCCTTTAAAATCTGGGATGGGATAAGAATATCCACTCTCACTATTCATATTCAATACAATACTAGAAATTCTAGCCAGAGAAATCAGACAAGAGAAAGAAATAAAAATGATAAAAAAGAAAACAAATTATTACTGTTTGCAGATGATATGATCCTATACTTAGAAGATTCAAAAAGCTCCACCAAAAGATCGCTAGAGCTAATAAATAAATCAGCAAAGTAGCAGCTCACAAAATCAACATACAAAAATTAATAACTTTCCTATATGCCAATAATAAATATGCCAAGAAAGAAATGAGGAAAACAGTCCCATTCACAATAGCTGCAAAAATAAACTATCTAGGAATAAATGTAACCAAGGGGGTAAAAGACCTCTACAATGAAAACTCTGGAATAGTGTAAAAGAAACTGAAGAAGATACAAGATAGAAAGACCTTCCATGTTCATGGATAGATAGAATTTATATTGTTAAATTGGCCATACTCCCAAAAGCAATATACAGATTCAATGTAATCCCCATCAAAATATCAATGAAATTCTTCACAGAACTAAAAAAAAAAAAAAACAGTCCTAAATTTCCCTTCTAAGAATAAAAGACCCAGAATAGCCAAACCAATTTTAAGCCAAAAAGCAAGGCTGGAAGCATCACAATACTTGACTTCAAATTATACTGTAGAGCTATAGTAACAAAAACTGCATGGTACTGACATAAGAACAGAAACCTAGACCAATGGTATAGAATAGAAAACACAGAGACAAACCTACACAAGATACACTCATCTGATCCTCGACAAACATAGCAAGAAACATGTTAGAGAAAAGACACAGCAAATGGTGCTGGGAAAACTGGTTATCCATATATAGAATAATAAGCTCAGGAAATAATACCAAGTGTTAATAAATGGGATGGCATCAAATAAAAAAGCTTCTGTACAGCAAAGTAAACAATTAGGAATGTGAAGAGAGAACCTACAAAATAGGAGAAAATCTGCCGCAGTCTGGCTGGGCACAATCAGGAGCCACTTGTCAAAAGAAA